ATCCTATTTAAGTCACCTTTTTATTTAGAGGTTATTTAGAACTTTGTTTCTGGGAGTGTGGAATGCTTTTTAGTGCAAATCTGAGAGCAATGCTGACAAATCAGCGGTGTGAGTATACTTGGCCTGTAGAACACTTCAGCTTGCAAATCAAATAACTGTTCTCAGTGTTTGCTATTCTTTTGAAGCTGAGGAAGCACTTGAGTTGCTACTTGTAAGTTGGTTCTTAGTAATTTTATATCAAAGTAATTTGAAGTTCATGTATCATACCATGGAAATCTAGCTTAGGTATTTTGACAAATTGGATGGTCTTCTGTTTTGATGGGAGCCTTGCAGGGGATTAATTGCAAGCCCCAAGTTTTCACTTGCAGAGGAAAGATGTAAAAGTGCTTTTTCAGCTGACACTACTTCTCTGGTTTAATTACTAATGATGAATTGGATTTGAGTCTTAAAAAAAATGTAGTACATTTCCTAAGGTGCACAGAGAAGTTAGTTGATACGTTCCACCTGAGCCAAAGTTAACAAGTGGTTTGCTATGACAGACAGTTGGGCTGAAAGCCGAATGAGTTGGGGGGCTTTGTTTTGGCCTATCGTGAGGTGTGCAAAGGTGTTGAACTTCCTACTTGCTTTTCATTTTAAGTTAAACATTTTATGTTAAGTGATTTAAAATATTATAGTACTTCCCAAGATTTTTTCCCGTCATTCTAAAGGAATAGGTGTAATTCGATGTCGATTGAATGGAAGTAGTGTATTGATGTTGTTATGGCTTTTTATTTGGCTGTATTTGTAAAAGGTAAAGTGAAAAACACTTGCTGAAGTGTTGTATAGTATACCTTCTGTCAAATAAAATGGTCAGATTTTGTTCTCTCTGTGTCCTGACGTTCCTTTCAAAACAGCCAGTACCCAGCCTACTGTTTATCTTGAGTAACTTTGGTTTTAGGGGTTGATTAGAAACATAAACATTCTGAATGTTTTCAGATTGCTATCTACCTTTTGGTGTACCCTAGGATGAGCTTCTATATGGAAGATTCCTGTTTAATCCCTTTCTAGAATATTCAAACAAGAATTGTTCCCCAACCCTGAACCAGCCAGGTGTTTTAGGGAAGCAAGAATTCATACAACTGATGTCTTTTCAGTTACTGAAAATGCTAAATGGTTGAATTTATATCTGAATAACTGATGGAGATTTCCAGTAGTGAAAGTGTCGCAGACCCTGAAGCAGTCTGCCAGGTATCAGATTAATAGTCCTTCCCTGCTGATGTCATAATTCACCATGTTCCCTGTCCACAGCAGCTGCTAAAGAGGTATTTAATTTGAGATGGAAAACAGATACAGAATAACTGAAAACCAAACAATTAGAGAAAATAGAAGGCACAATTACGACATAACAGGCCTGTTGAGATTTACCATAACAGCAACAGAAAGTCTCAGAATTTAAGAATGAAGTTGCTGGTTTCGTCAGTGTGCTGGTCTGCCACCACTGCAGAAGTAAGCAGTCTTTCCTGGATGTTCTTTCCCTTCCTTTGGTGTGTATTGTGAAATAGATTGCAAAATTTTCTGGGTTGCAGTACATTTCTGTGCTAAATGAGCTCTAACCTGTACCCAAGCGTGGTGATGACAAAGGAGTGTGGAGATAGAAGCAAACGCTTAAGGACCGGGGGATGTTGTTACGTGTTCCTTGAGCTGCAGTGCTCATCTTCAGTATTCTTCATCTTTTTTTTTTTTTTTCTTCTTTTTGTAACCTGCATACTTCGTTTCCTGCATACCAAAGTATCTTCTGGGTTTGTGCTTGTAAAAAGAAAGGCATTGCAAACAGCCGGCTGGCTCAGCTCAGTGTTTCTAGGAAGAAGCCTGAAGATTTGCGGTATGATTTAGGAAAGTGTTTGCTGGGTTGCTGCATTGCCAAAGGCTGCGTTAGAAGTCGTCTCTCTTTTTTTTTTTTTTTTTTTAAGAAAAGCTAATTCATTGGTTTATTGTTGAAGTTTCCTCATCCATGTTATGACAGTGTTAATAGCTCTCAGTATTATGTTTCAACTACCCCTTACTGATTTTACAGAAAGGGACAAGAAAGAATTGAGGGTTGGTATTGCCAGCTGAATCCATTGTTTTGGAAACTTGATAATGGAATATTTCCTGTGCTCCTTTGGGGTAAACAAAACTTCCTGAAATAGGGACCATTATCTCACCTGGAGCCAGAAAATGTTTGCCTGCCTGTTTCTACTTAGAAGAATAGAAGAAATTTTTTTTTGCTTAAAGTGATCTTCCTACTCTTGCAAATAAGAAATGATAGTCATTTGTCAGTGCAGCCAAATTTCAGATGCTGTTGCAAGATGCAGAACTTTGCCTGGAGGCAGATTAAGATATCCGAAACTAGAATTTCTGTGGGAGGGTTAGTATTTGTGTATGAAGACATATGCTCGCTCAAGCGGTTTGTTGTTTTAGGGTACATATTCTCCTGCTGACACTGACAAACAGCCTTACTGAAATGCTTTAAATCTGGCAGAAGGCAGCAAACCATTCCCTCTTCACTTCCATTTATTTTCCTCGCCACAAAATTTTTGTTTTAAATAGAGCATTAATGTTTTCAAAGAAGTGAGTTCCCAGGCCAGACTTTTTTTCCCAGGGGATGTTCTGCATATTGCTTCTGTGCTCTAGGCTAAGTTTTTTTTCTGAAGGTTTACTTTTATGTGCTGCAAGCTTACGGTTCCCTACATTAAAGTCCTAATAAGCAGTGTGTTCTTTTGGACTTTGGGGTTATGATATGCTTGTTCACCTCCTAAGCAGCTGTCTTTGATATTTCCATTGAATTACTGGGAGACTAGTGTTGTAATGTGTGATAACACAGGGCTTCGTAAAAGTTTGGGGACAAGAATACAGTTTTCTCATTTTCCCCTTGGATTACCAAGTGCTAATTACATCTTGCAAGGGAATACTTCCTATTTGATTTATGAGGTGTTTTTACGGTTACATTTGGTGCCTAAGTTAGTAAACATATAAACAGCCTTTTTTAGCTCTGTATACAGCCATAAATTACTTGTTTTAGAGTAAGGACTCTAATATTAATGCTCCTTTCACAATGAAGGGACAGAACTGAATAGACAGTAGACTGTCTCTTATGCCAGAGTGCTGGAAGAAATGATTTCTCAGTGTCTAAACGGACATAATTAGATGTGTGGAGCAGTGGTTTTACTTTGAGGACTTTCTATCACTTAGCACTTTATTTATTAACTTCATGAGGAAATATTACATCCTTGAGATCCTTTGTAAATGTTCAGAAGCACTGTGTAAATTTGACATCTGATTTCACAAATTGGCCAGTTGATTTATTTCAAGTACTGCCTGTTGTGAATGGAAAATCTTAGGATCTTGCTTAGATACCTCCCCCTTCCATTTTTCTCACTTACAGTAATACGCTACAGTGCACACTACAATACTTTGTGTATTCCCTTTGTTCCTTTTATGTATAGGACAGGTTTTCTGTAGTTTTATTATCCCACAGTGGCCTGTTGCCACTTGCAAACTGATTTCTTGGCCCATGAAAGGCTGAGGTTGTGATCTTTTAAGCACCATTGAAGCAGCGTATTCGAATGTCTGTAATTTTGCATCCCTCCAATCGTCTCTGAGGTATGGGAAATATTTGTAGTTAATCTCACTTTCTGTAGCTCCATGAAAAATTATCAGTGCAAACAGAGAAAATGGGTATGACAATAACTCGGGTACATTTTGTGCTGGCTTTGGCTGGGATATAGTTAATTTTCTTTACAGTAGCTAGTGGGAGGCTGTGTGTTGGATTTGTGCTGAGAGTAATATTGTCAATATATTAGCGTTTTTAGTTGTTGCCAAGCGCTGTTTACATTAAGCTGAGGACTTGTTCAGTTTCTGATACTACCCCTGTGTTCCCGGCTTCTTCTCTACAAGAATTTGGGAGGGGGGACAGTCTGGATAGCTGACCCAAACTGACCTTTCATGCCATAAAGCGTCATGCTCAGTATATAAGATGGGGTGTGGAGGGGGTGGGGTGTCAGCTTGGGGACATGCTCTCTTTGGCTCTTGGTGCTCAGGGACTAGGTGGGCATTGGTTGGTGGGTTGTGAATGGTTGTATCATTTGGGTTTTTTCCCCATTGCTGTTTTCCTTATGTATTATAATTATTAATTGCCTATTATTAGTATCATTAGCATAATTATTTTATTGCATTTTATTTTTAATTATTAAACTGTTCTTATCTCAACCCAGGAGTTCTCTTATCTCCTTCCTCTGTTTCTCCCCCATCCCACTGGGGGTGGGAGCCGTGAGGAGGCAGTTGTGTGGTGCTTGACTGTCGACTCGGGCTAAAATGACAATTTCTTTTCCTAAACTCTGTACTGCCACACGTTCCTCCTGTAAGCTTACCTCTTGTTTGGGTTTTTTTTATCAGATGACAAAATGAGAGGTTATAGATTATTTGGTGGAGTATTATACCTGCGAATATAGCAGGCAGCTTTCCTGAAGCTCTGTGTTCACTGTCGAAGAAAGCATTTATCGTAGGGCATGCAATTTTACCAAATGTTTGAGAGCAGCTGTGATTGATTGTAATGTAATTATGAATACAAAATAGTTGAATACATAATTATATAGGACTTTTTCCTCAGTAGTTCTGGGAACTTTTACTTTTTTCTGATGAATCAGGGAAGACGGGAGAAGGTTAAGCAGGATCTTTGTCAGTTGAAGGGATCCTATGCTTGTTTGCCTGTGTTAATGTCATGTTTGCTTGTTCTAGCAGGGAAGGGTACTCTGCAAGTGGAAGCTGAGCCATATTCATGACCACTAAATGAAGAAATCCGCTTTGTGTACATACCTGTGCACAGGTACACATCTCTATAGGTAGCAGGGGTTAGTTCCTGTTGACATGCTGGAGGGAGCTGATGACTGCTGCTGCTCGGTTTAAGGCTGTCGCCATACTCGCACCTTTTGAGGAAGGTGACTGCTTGAGCTGTTACAGTAAGCGATTGTTATCTGCTGTCTCCCGAGCTTCACGTGACTTGTGGTGAAGAGGTGTCAGGTCCAAAGTCAGTACTTTGTATGCAGGAAATGCCCTGTCTGTAATATCAGGGGTTTGCATCTGCTCAGCTCCCACCTGAGCTCTCGTGAGCAGGGGGAGAAGGCGGCAAGACCGGAGTTGAAACCATTGTGGAATAGGATAGGAAGGTGGAGATTTTGAGAGAGAAGTACAGCTCAGTCCTCAAGTTTTTAATAGCCCATTACAATAGAAATACCACTGAAAAACTACATTACCCACTCTTTATAAACAAACAAAACAAACAGCGAACTTGCAGTTGACACTGCATCTTATTTTCTTGACTTCTGGGTTCCTTCATAGTGGATGCTTTGTCAACTGAAGGAGCTGAGAGGTGCCTAATGCATTTTGCACTGCAGCTCACATCCTCCATACGAATCTGTGCTGGTCGCTTTGCATGCGTGTGAAACAATAAGCGTAGTGTTTGCCGGTGGCTGAGGAGAAGGTGCAGAGGGTGCCTGCCAGCTCGCAGCAGTCAACACACAGCTCTTTGTTGGCAGCCCCGATGAAGGCAAGCATGCCCAGGCCGTTGATGCTCCATGCTCCTGCTTAAGGCTGATGTGCATTAATGCTATCAAAATAAACTGGTTGTGCTGCTTGCTTTACTTATGTTTTTGACTCATGGTAGTTAAGGAAGGCTTTGGTTGTCTTTACAGACCTGTAGTGCTGTTCCTGATTTGCAAATAGGTTTGGGGGGGAAGGAGGGTGTTTGTCTTTCTGGAGAGCAGTTGTGAGGTTATGAATGATAGCTTTTTTCTTTTTAGAGTTGTGCAGTTTTGTGTTTTGAATTATGGAAAAGGTATTTCTTGCAATCCAGAGAGATTTAGTAATGATGCTGAATATGATAGTAGACACTTTACTGTTGAGAGCAGTAGATTGTCTTGTATCTTTATTGTGCCTTCCATCAGTGTAGTACCCCCGAGCAAAGTGAAAAAGAGCTTTGCTGTAGTCTTGTTTTGGGGGTTGTTGGGAGGCAGGATGTTTTACAGTTGACTTCTAAAAATAGTATTTACTGAAAGAACACCCTATGAGCTCAATCACTCTTAGTCCCTTTCAGACACTGCTAGTGTTGGCTTGTGTTGCCTTGAGTCAGTGTCCCCAGAAGAAGGCAGGAGGCCTGTGAGAGAAAGGCGCTGCTGCGTTGGCTGTGCTTGCCAGAATCTGTCCTTGCTTGGTGAGCAACCAATTGGTGAAGGCCAAGAAAACTAAGGGCACCCACTTTAGGTGTCAGCCGGATCAAAATAACTGTTATCCTGACAATTTTTTATAAGTTTTGGGGAGATGGTGTGATAGCATTGTGTACTTGGCATCTGTTAAACTCATACCTGTCTTTTTGGTTTTGGTGATTATTATAAATGATGTCTATGATACTTTTTTCCCCCCCTGACAAATTATATGCAGGAAAAAAATACTTGGATTGTCTCCATTAAGAAAGATTTATTCAAATTATTATTTCCTTTGCTGGCTTTCTGTACAAGATAAAGCCATGGAGACTTATGAAAGAAAGCTGTGGTGGTTTTGTTGGATGCTCTGGTTTTTTTTTATGTATTGTTGATCACTTCAAGACCAACAGGTAGATGATGGGGTTTTTTTCAGTGTTATAAATCTTTTTCCTCTGGGGTTTCACAGCAGGCTGATAATTTTTTCTCCTTTTCATGCTTTCCTGTTCACTTTTTTGATGTGGTGTTTCTGACCATGTGCAGGGTCATATCACTGGACTGAGCTGGGAGAAAAATAAGCTGACAAAATGGAGATGACTACATACTCTATGGCAGCTGTATGATTTTGTGTGTGTCAGGATGTGTGTCACTGAATAAATAGAAATTGACTGTACGGACTGGGAAGGTAATGCATGACTGAAAAAATCATACAGTCAATCCATATTATGTTTAGGAAGAGGTCAAAGTGGTAAGTGGGATAAAGAGTGACAGTTAAGAATAGATATTTCATTGTGCATAAGTAGTTCAGC